TACATACAGGTGGACATTTTTTTTATTTGTGTATGTGCCCTCTGTACGATACAACACCGCCAACACGGCTTACTTATTTAGTACTGCCTAAATCTACAAATAAATAGTCCAGAAACGCTTTAGAATGGCTCATTCACAAGCCTGCTATCCATCACTTCCGACATAGGCGGCGCGGCCAGCGGAAGTCTCCAAGTTATCGTTAAAAATTATCGTTACACACACGTATGAGTATTATTAGTACGCGCATATTCGTAATAAATATCCGCGTCCGCCGAGAGGCATACCAAGCAATTAATTAATAAATGAAACGTGCTAAAAATTAAATTTGTTAATGCAAAGAATGTGAAAGAGACATTTATTTAGAATACATAAATACGCATAAAATTAAATGTAATATTTGAATTGTAAAATTCGTGTACGAAAAAAGTTAATACATACATAGTTTCCTTAGCAGTGATATAAGGAAATGATTACGCATTTATTTCTACGAAAAATACGTTAATTGTTTTCCATTTCCTTAACAGTATTATTCAAGTTCAACTTAGCAAATTAGGAAATAAAAGCCGTAGTCGAAATCGAAATCAAGTCGAACGAACTTACAAGCACTTACAAGCAAATTAAAAATAAAATAAAATAAAATAATAACAAATTATACCAAAAGTATTATATTCGTGTAACTTAATTGAACAACGCCCGCATGACGCCAATCCACTAGATACTTACTATACATATATAGTAGTATATTTATGAAAGATTATAATTGAATTAAAGTAAATAAAAAATAGCAAAAGTGATGAAATCTATCTTAAGTTCAAGCCTCCTCCCCCTTGGGGCGCTTGTAGTTCTAAATCTCTGTGTTCGCTCCAGCATTGCGCGGACTATTTTCACTAGCACTACCAATGCGATACAGAAAAGAATCTACGATGATGGTGAACCGGTAACTTGGTAAGTGCAAAATTTTTAAAATTTAAAAAACCAGTCATTAATAGCACCTGGCGAAATATATAAAATAAGACGATCTTGGCTGTGTATGTATTTAGTTCCATCTAAAGTATACTCAATCTAACGACAATAAGGGGATTCAAAAGACGTTTTAACCGTCGCAAAATCTTAATCTTAACATTTTCATATGTAAAATAACGGTTAAAATGGTTTTAGTGGGGCTCATTATATATGTATTTATTATCAGTTTATAAACATTTCGGTATAGTTAGAAACCCTGTAAAACCATTTTGATCATTATTTTACTTAAACAAATGTTAATAGAGCAGCTCTGAGTTTGCTACATTCCAATAGTGACATACATGTGTACCGAGTTCCGGGGCACACCGGAAGACCAACAGGCTGGCCAAAGAGGCTGCTCTGTCGGCAACCATGCCGATGGAAGAGGTGCCAATTTCCCTCTAAGCGATTAAACGGGAACTCGACCTGTCCATGTTGGCGTGGAACAAAACGCACCGCTGCAAGTTGTCCAGGGTAATGTGCAGAGAGTGTGACATGCAGCTCACGAAGTTTCTCCTTCCTCTCAAGAGGGAGGACGCTAGGCTACTGGACATTGCTTGCTGGCATCGCACGACTATAAATTGGCTCTGACAAACGATAAGATATGCAGGAGATGTAGAACGCAAGAGGAGACAGTGGAGCATATCCTCTGCGAGTGTTCTGCCCTCAGCAGACTGCGTGCTAGTCTACTGGGAGCAGGTTTTCTACCTAATCTGTAAGCCGCCGTCAAGGCAGCGTATAACAAGTTGTTCCAGTTTGCCAAGAGGACTGCGATGTTCTTCACCATTGATCCTGGTTCGCAGTGATTAGCTGTCTAAAGTGGTCGTAGTTTATCTGGTAACGCTATGGACCTCAATGGTCTCTGCAAAGCCACACAGTGGCTGGCCAGCATAGCTAACCTAAGAGTTAAAATAAAAATATTTCAAGATGTGAAAAAAAATTTGCACGTTTGGCAGAGTAGCAGGAAAAAATACAATAGTTAGCATTTTTCCAAAAAAAAGAGTTTTCCGATCGAAAAATATTTATTTTCAAGAATTCCATACCATTTCTACGAAAAGTTGTTTTTTCCCCACATAAAATACATGAGAAACTTTGGGCGCTTTGAGCGACCACTAAATGTTTTTTGATTTCAAAATAAAAAATAAGGGTATATTTTCTTCGGTATAGAACAATCCTAGGGAGTGAGAGCATTAAAATTCCGACTTTACTTATTTTGGACTACCCTAATGTACATACATGTGGCTTATTTTGGACTTTTTAATTGGCCCACTCAGCTGAATAGGTTGAACATAATTTTCGAATTTAACTGTTTGTTGTATCTGCTAGATAGTCCACAAATGGGTTTTTGTTAATGCGCTATCACCAACAAACATCATCAAAAACAACTACATTGGTGCTATCATTAGTTACTTTTAGACATTTTTTCAAAAGTAATAAATAGGAAAAAAAGGAAAATTGAATCGTTCACCAGAATAGGTTATGTGCAAAAATTTTTTATTTAAGGCAAGGACCGAAAATAACAGTCATTGTTTTATGTTATACAAGTCCGGGGCAAAATTTTGTGGTAGAAGAAAGTTATCAATGTTTGTTTGATGCCAGGACCTCCTGAACAAGAATCCTGGATAATTTTTATTTTCGAACTTAAAGTGGGCCAAATATTTTTAGCAGCCTGACTCTTTGAATCATATTGCCTAGAACTCAGCAGTTTCGCGAATGTGAAGTTATATGGGCAGTTGATGCAGGATCACCGAAAGAGACATTTTAATTCATTCTTTCATTTCGGAAATTTCGAAAAAATTTGTATTGAGATGTAATTTAAAGAACCGTAAGCTTGTCTATAAAACTATAATTCCCTATTAAAACTGTGAATCTGCCAACGTTGGCCATACAAGATGTTTTCATCATATTCGATGACACCAACAAAAAGTGGTTTTAGATCGAGATCGGGAAGTAAGTAAGAGGCCTCGAGTTGACAATGTTTTCCACCTCTACGATGTCGCCTTGCAAAGTATATTCGAGGGGAGCAACTTCTTTCGACGTGTGAATTGGCACGCGTTTCAGGCAGCGCACCATGCGCTCCCAGATACCGCCTCCCGATGGATTCTGGGGCAATTAAAAATCCACCCAATACTCTTTGGTGACAGTTCATCGCTAACAAGTCTAGGATGCTGCGACACTTAGAAATTACTACCAGAAACAAAACAAGAAGGCTTTGAAATTATTTTTTTTTTGTATTATATAACTTGGAAGTTTAGATGTTANACAGAGGTACAAAGTTAATGTTTTTTGCATTATACCACGGCAATGTGTCCTTGGCATAGTGGCAGGTTGCCATGTCCGCCTAGAACGATGGCCTTTCCTTATCTGTTGATAAATGACAGAAGACGCCTTTTGAGGCACTCATCCCGATAAACTTGATCATTCATTGTGCCGGATGGGAAAAAGGGCTGCTCATACGGCCGCAGGAACAAATAGCTTGCCAAACCATGTGGTTTTTGGAAATTTGGACTTCATTTTCAGCTTACAACTTTCAGGGGCATCTTGACGACTTGCAGCGGTATAAAAATCTTGACCTGCAATATATTTTGAATTCTTATAGCAGTAGGTTTCGCAGTCCATAACAATGCAGTTGTATTTTTTAATTTAGAATTCATACAACTTCCGAATGCGGGATTTCGCTGTAACATTCTACTTTGCGCCTCGGTCTGGCGCTGTTTGAGCTGTAGAACATCTCAATGAAGCTTTCCGCTTTACCTTTTGTACGAAAAACTGCGATCTCCGTACGGATTTTGCAACATAACGCGACAAAATCTTCGGATCTCGCGAAAACGCACTGAGGACCTTCCGAGCACTGTTTTTATCACTTTGACCATGCTAACCCCCGCTCCCTGGTTTTCTCGTAACTGTCAGGCCTTATTTGTACCGATTAAAATCCTGCAAACTGTCGAATAGTGCACTCTTTAATTTTTTTGCAATTTTACGTGTACTTAAGGCCGGATCATATATAAACTCGTGCAAAATGTTTTGTCTCGTTTCTAGCTCGGTTGCCATTTTTAACTCAACTAGGAATCAAATTCAAATGAAATTTCTTCTACGTTCAACTAAGGTCATGGTCAACTTATGGTATTTGAATTTCAAAATATTGAATTCGTTTTGGGTAAGTTATAAGCTTCCCAAAGTGTCGCAGTTTTGGTGTGTTCACCCTTTAAGCCACCTGCAGATGTATCGCACAGACCGTAAGGCAGGTGAAAAGAGCTACCCCTCGTTTTTTTGTACGCCGACCAATAGTGACCTTTAGAGGTCCGAAGTAATCCAATCCAGTGCAGCTAAACGGTCTGACGTATGGTGTCAATCGATCCTGAGGAAGCAGGCACATATTTGGCGTGGCTGGTTTGGCAAGTACGGCAGCAAATTGTAGATTGGACTTTTCTTTGACACCATTTGTCCCTCTTTAAGTAGTTTCACTTCCACAATGTATACGGCGGACTGAACTTGGCGGAACAGATAAGCTTCGGCTGCAACGAGTGCGCTGGAAATCAATCCGTGGTGACCTTCACTAGATATTGTACGACGGGAACCAACAATAAACCTCAACATCTAAGCCGTTGTTATTTTCAATCTAGTGTACGAGGAAATCAATTAAAACAATGGTATTCGTTAGAAAAACGTGTATTGTACAAATTTCTTATCGCTATCATTCTGATTGTTCACGGTGACCGAGGCATTTGGCCCACGACTCCTACTGGCATTGACAAAAACGATGGTACAGTATTTTCTCCTGAATTCGTTCACTACGGTGAACTCTTAACCCAGCATTAAAGAAGTGCGGATTAAATATTTTCGGCATCAGTTCAATCATTTATGCCGGCTTTCCACAAGGCACTCTCAAATTTTAATGACAAAGTTGGGCATTAAAAAATGTCTGTGCCGCACAGTGGTCGGAGAAGCCATGTTTTACGCGAAAAAGGCATATTTGAAAACTGTGATAAATTAACTGGAATACAGCTATTCTTATTCAGAAATATCCAAGGTACACAAAAGTGATTAGTACTTTCAATAATATCTGCTCAGCAAGCTGTTAAAACCGTTTAATTCAACGAATTCGATCTTGGTACGTTCTAAAAATTATGTGTTGATAGCTTCCTTAACAATTTTTTTATGGAAACTTTCAATTATAGCAGTCATTGCTGGTTTGATGGTTTTGTCTTAAGCATAGAGAATGATGATTTCATATGAAACATTACATAATACAAATTTGTCGCTAAATTATCAATACCTTAATAACACGGCTTAATTTTCAATAAATATTTTTTTCAATAAGGTATAACTAATGAGTATGGCCGGGTAGGGTCCTGACTCCTTTACCAAAATGTACTGCAAATAGTCCTTTAAGGATCTACGAAAATAAAATCCGCGCATACTGGCGCCAAAAAGTGTGGCGGCCGTATTTTTTTATTATATATTTAGCACCACATAATTTATTAGATGTATCTTAACAAACCTGAAGTCAATGTTCAAAAATCCAAAGTAGCGAACCCAGTATGGCGCCCAAGAATTTAAAAATTATTGAATTTTCGTGAAATTTGGTATTTAGAGGTTCCTAAGTTCGCTTATTATAAATTTCAGACCAGTTTTTGCAAAATCGAATATGGTGTCCGAGATTTAAAAAAATTTTTGAATTTTCAAACCTGAATAATTTATTTAAAAATAAGAAAACTGAAGTTTTGGAAATTACGAATTTCGTATCAAATAAAAAACCTTAAAAAATAAGGGCTCAACTTTTAGCAGATGGCTCCAACTATTCCCCATTTATAACTATAAATACCGTTATTATTTCATAATTTTATCATAAATTCATTTTAAATATGCTCCCTCGAATACAATAAATCATTAATTTTGCTAAACAAATATATTTTTTACTCAACTAAAAATGATAGTTCATTTTGACAGTTTTCAACTGAAAAAGTTTGAATGTGATATAGAACTAGAGATCAGAGAGCCTTAAAACTTAGTTCGTTTATTTCTTGGCAACATTTTCTCTTTTTTCAACTGTCAACTCTCAAAGTTTTAATTTGATATGAAACTCGTGTTCAGCATGTCTAAAAACCTAATCAGGGGCATTTTTAAAAAGATTGTCTAATTTTTAGAGAAATTCTCGGTCCATTTGACATATGTCAATTGTTTTAATTGGACATAAAATTCGTGACTAGTGTACCTAAAAACCTAATCAGTTGTATTTTCAAAATGATTTTCGTATTTTAAGAGAATTTGGCGTTCGATTTGACAGCTGTCAACTGCCAAACATAAAATTGTAAGGCATATTCGGATTTAGCATAACAAAAATACTGCGAACCTGCATTTTTATTATAATCGTAACAACCATCCAATTTTTCGCGTAAAACATGGCTTCTGCGACTACTGTGTGCCGTTACGCTAAGAAAAATTGTCATCACATAAATTCGTTACTCACATTTCTCATCATTTCAATGCCTGGTGGAAATTCGGCAGTAGAGTATATTTTTTTTTTTGTCGAATTAGAGAGAAAATAAGCAAACAATTTTTCGAAGATTAAGAGCAGTGAAAGCACTTGTCAGAAAATTAGAACTAGTGGAGATGGAGTAGAAAAAAATATCAACTTTGACTATCCGAGCTTGAAATTGAGCTATTTATTAAGAGGCGAGTTTAACCTAATAAGAAAATGCATATCGCTAGCTTAGCTGCGAAGTCCAGTTTTTTTAATTTTACAGGAGAGAAAAAAACCACTTCAATTGATTTTTGTATTCTTTCTTGTATATTTTCTGTTACTATTTTGGACTTAGCAATGAAGTTGGGGGCAGCCAACTTATGATTCCACTAATCGCCTCTAAATTTGCCTGTAAAATCGCCTCATGCGAACACCGTATAAGGAAATCATGTATTTTTGATTGTTCTTGCCTCTTGTATCAAAATATAACTTTTTAGAAAAAGTGGACTTGGCATGTATGTACATAACTGAATAAATCGTTTAGTCAATAAATAAGTTTCTTTAATGGAAATAGAAAATATTATATAGTAAAAATATGACCTCCAAAAGTGTGATTCTACAATTCTACCAAAATCTGAATAGCTGTGAAACGGAAAAGCTAACGTGACTATTCCTAATTAATTTGTTACAAAAAATCATTTTCACATATATGTAGTTTCCCATACACTCAAGCTTTGAAATGCATGTCATTCTTACTTATCGCACTTTAGTAATACTACGTATCCAGAATTTCAACAATTTCAAGGTGAAATTAAAAAGTTTAAAATTTTTAACAATTTGCAAGTAATTTCCCGCTGTAAGCTTGAAATAAACGAGCACCGAATTGTGTAGAAGTGCAAATTAGTTAAGTATGTATTTAGAAGCGCAATACAAATTTTGAGATGTACTAGTACATATGTATTTCTGGGTGGGAGTGTAAGAGAAAACATCATAAAAATTGCTTTTTATATTTCAATTTTTAGTCGATACAGGAGCCATTAACTTACTTAAATAAGTACTAACACATTTACACATTTCTATAAATGTACACATTACTTGTATTTATTGCTAATGCAATATAATTAGATTTAGCCACAAGAAACGTTGTCAATTATTCTGTTAAATAAAAAATGCACTTTTAACGCGAAAATTTCGCGTTGTGACAGGTTAATGAAAAACAGAAAAAATGCTGCCGTCGTTGCCGTTTCGATACAATTGTATCATTTTTGATACTTTTCTTTTAAAAATTTGTAATTTCATACTTTGCCACTTTTTTCACAAATGCCAAATTTTGATACTAATAAAAATATTTTTGAATTCGTTTCCAAAATATTGAGTTTACCTCACAACCAAGACGAATTTACACAAAGTAGTGTTACTGGCGAAAAAAAAATGTAAAACTGTTGTACATATTTACTTTTGATACGTTTTGATACTTTTTAGCTTAGCAATTGATACACATTACTACGTATGCATGCATGCACATATAAAAACAAATTTAATTTTGATATTTATTTTAGTTTTGATATTTATTTTTAATTAACTGTCACATTTCGCTAAAAAACAAAGGACACACTGGCACAAAAATATTTAGTAGATACTCGTAAATGGATTTGCCTGATTTCTTTTAATAGAAATTTAACGAAAATTCCTCATCATATCACAATTTTTAAGAAAGGGCTCTTTATGAAAAATTGTGTATTTATAACCTTAAATCGTTTCCTATATATGTATACATATTTCGTTTATTTATTTACCCTTCTCTACGGGCTTAAAATGAGTCGACTTGCTAGGTATTATCCAAAAGTAATTTTAAAGCAGATTTTGTATAAAAATTCTTTAAGAAAAAAAGTTTTACAAAGCAAATGCCGTACTTATTGCATATAAAAAAGTTGTATATAAGAAATAAATGGATATAAGGAAGCTTTTACTTGCACCAAGTCCAACGTAATACAATAGCTACGAGTATGTAAAAGCAAATGTGCATAACAAAACCGCTTAAATGAAAACAATTCTAGAAAGTTATTTTTACAAGTCAGGCATAGCCATAATACTTTATTTACATATGTAAGGGGCATTCCAAAGTGACGGGTGGTACATCTTAACTCGTTTTTGCTGAAACTTTAAGTAATTTCTCTTTAACCATAAATTTGAAAAGTTTCAAAATGTTAATACTTGAAGTCAGATATCAAATTATTACGTGGGACAACTATGACACCCACCTCTCTGAGTTAATGGATTCGTTGCCCAATTCTAGCCAAACTATAAATATGATGCTTAACGACACTCACATATTGACAAAATTTTACCATTTATCTTATAATTTGTTTAATTTTAATTATTTGTTTATAAAAATATGGTTGCAACATTTAAAAAAAATCAACAAACTTGCGTAAAAAATTCGAATTTTTTAATTCGATTTTTCAGAAATATTTTGAGTACGGAGTACCTTACCGTTAATTCTTGAGAATTTTTTTTTATTGAAGGTGTTGCTCATTTTCTCCATATAAAAAATCGTCGAACATACTTTGAATGGAAGCAAATAACTGACATCGTCAACAAAAAACAATTGCCAAAAATCAACGGTAATACTACGTTCAAATTGACGAGTTAAACATGTTAAATGGGCTTGAACCAGTTAAATGCACAAAACGTGTTTAAAAACAAATTAAATCGCATGCAATTGTTGTTGGAAAATTTAACCAGTTAAATCATTTAACTCGTTTGAAAACCAGTTCAGCGCAGAGTTGCATCAGAAAGCTTTCTGCTTCAGCCACTCAGAAGGGCCGCAAGCTTTCATTTGACACGCCAACGTTCAAAAAATTTAAATTCTCAAAAATAATAAAAATTAAAAACTATCAAAAAATATCGAAATTGTATGCATGTCTGCCCGCCAAAAAAGGGGTCAAGGCGGTAATCAGTTATTTCCCCTCAGGTCTCATCGTACGCAGAGATAAATAGTGCATACATACTAAACATTTTGAAGTAATCCGTATGCGGTAATATCATAAAGCAGACATTCGCACAACACAAATTTATTTTTGATATTTTTTTTAATTATTATTTGAAATCAAACAACCGTCAAAGTTAAATCCATATGTTCAATGTGGACGATTGTGTTTTACAAAAAAACTCTTTTTCATTTAACAAGTTAAATGCGGCCAATTTGAACGTAATATAAGTCCCAGCTAATTTAAATATTTCTAAAAATTCGAATTAAAAAGCTCGGTATTTGTATGAAAGTTTGTTGTTTTATTTGAATGTTTCACAAAGATTGAAACTTGGATTTACATATCGATGGCTGAGTGGAAGATCGACCTATCTCGCCAGCCTGTTCGCAAACGCCCTATCTCAAAAAACCTTTCAAGAACGCCCTACTTCAGAATTCGATAGAAAAACACCCTTTTTCAGATTTTTATTGAAAAACACCCTATCGCAGCTGCCGATTCAAAAATGCCCTATCTCAGCACATTTTCAATGTATTTTCGTTTGAGATTTCTGAAATAGGGCGTTCTTCAACGAAATTCTGAATAAAGCGTTGTTGAAAAATTTTCAGAGCTAGGGCGTTTTCGAACTGGTTGTCGAGATAGGTCGATCTTCCACTCAGCCATCGATATATGGTTTTTGTTAAAAGATAAACTGTATTTGTATAAATGAATAATTAAAATTAAAAAATATTAAGACAAGTGGTCAATTCTTGTCAATATGTAAATGTCATAAAGTTATGATACGCACTATATATTGTTGATAGCGCCTTCACTTTCATTTAGAGTGCCTGGCCTAGCTGCATACCAAACAGGATTGTGGGATTGGTGCTCACACAAATTTGGTTCACCATTCGCGTTGGCCTAAAATGGTTAATGTATTCGTTTTTGTTTCTTACCAGTCAAATCTATTGCCATGGACCGCTGCTGCACACCATACAAATGGCGCACCTTTACAAGGACTCCAAAACTTTTGTGGACATGAAGTTAAGAAATCATCCGGATAAAACGTTGCAGGATTTCAACGAATTCATGGCTGCCAAGAATAATACCCCCACCGAAGCGGAAATACAAGACTTTGTTGATGTATGTTCATGTTTATATAGAGCTCACATTTTTGCCGGTGCAACTAAACTGATTTCCTTTTTCTTGTGCTCTTTTTTCTATAATGTGTTCTTTTTTTCTATTTTTCTTTTCTTATCTACTATTTAGACACACTTTGAAGAGCGCGGCAAAGAGTTCGAACCATGGACGCCGGACGATTGGAAGGAGCATCCCGAATTCTTAGATATGGTTAACGATCCTGATCTCAAGCAATGGGGCTCCGATTTGAATGTTATCTGGAAAAAGTTGGGTCGCAAAATGATCGATGATGTACACAAGAATTCAGAATATTATTCCATCATACCAGTCGATCATCCAGTTATTGTGCCAGGTGGACGTTTCATTGAATTCTACTATTGGGACTCCTATTGGGTCATACGCGGTTTGCTCTATTCAGAGATGTACGAAACGGCACGTGGCATGATCGAAAACTTCCTGTCCATTGTACAAAGATTCGGTTTCATACCGAATGGTGGTCGCGTGTACTACTTCGGACGTTCACAACCGCCACTGCTGACGGCTATGGTTAAGTCTTACGTTGAATTCACGAAAGACTACAGTTTTGCTGTGGATTCTTTGGATATTTTGGAGCATGAATTTGAATATTGGATGAATAATCATATCGTGCAGGCGAAAGGTTACGATGTTGCAATCTATCGTGACAGTTCCTCCGGTCCACGTCCAGAATCCTATCGTGAAGACGTCGAGACGTCGCAATTTTTCCAAACAGACGAGGAGAAGGAGCAACATTATTGCGAGTTAAAGGCTGGTGCTGAGTCTGGCATGGATTTCAGTTCGCGTTGGTTTATTAACGAAAATGGCACAAGCGATGGTGATTTAACAACTCTGAAAACACGCTCCATTGTGCCCGTAGAATTGAATGCAATATTGTATTGGAATGCAAAAATGATTGCAGAATTCCATGAGAAGGCAGGAAATGCCGCAAAGTCTGCGGAGTATGAGCTGAAGGCTGCAAAGATATTCGAGGTAAGAATCCGAATGTTTTTTGAGATTGGATATTTTAGATTTGCATGTGGCGATTGAAAATTCGAATTAGATATGTATGTAGATAAGACAAGTGGTCAAATATGCACGCCGTCGCATATGTTGTGCCCCACAACACTTCGTTTGATGCGTAAGTCCCCAAAAAGTTTAGAAAAGGAGTTGGGAGTGTAAGTGCTTTCTTTTAGCCACAGTGAGCCTAGACTCTTCTTAGACTCACGGGATAGGTGCAATAATGTCTCATTGGCTATATCACAAAAGTAACGGAGACGAAACTGCTAACTTATTCAGATGGCTTCTCAAGCTGAAATTAGTCAAGAATGTAAACCTACCGGTACGTAAACCTGAGTCAGCTGACACGATCTGCTTTACCAGAGCGCCATTTAAATGAAAACTCAACACCGCAGAATTTTTCTGAAGTTGTAGCCCGTAACGCAGAAATCTGCGGAACTTAGATTTTTCCGTGTCAACTGATTTTTTCCTTCTATAGATGGTTGCCACTTCGTCTGTTTTGCAGATGGTAAAGAAGTTATAATTTCCTATTCAAAATACGTTTAAAATATTTGAAATTTACTATTGAATAAGGTTTTAGGTTTTTAGGTTTTTAAGTAGTTTATATTTAACTACGATCTATTATAGCACAAAAAATTTTAGTTGAAAGGCAAGTTTATGAAATGGCATTGATGAGTGCCAACACTGTAGTAAGCAAAACTGAGGGCTCCAGTAATGGACAAAATTCTGCGTATACAGACTGCGTTTAAGTATACGTTCTGCGTTCTTGACTAATTTCAGCTTCAATCTTCAGTATCCTGTATCACTTGAGTTTATATCATTCATGTTTAGCTCCGCCAGTGTCATTCTTTCATTCCTATCATCTCTTTCCCGAGCTCCTCCCCACTTGTGTTAGGACCTACTACCAGTGTTTATAGAGAAAGACCCCTAAAAATCTTAGTTTTTTTTTCAAAAAAAAAGCCATCAAAATAAGATTTTAAAGCTTAAAAAATCGTTTCCATCTCAAGAAATCTCCATTTAAAATTACCTCCAAAGAAACACGTATTTCAATATTGGCTTTACGGCTGTAAATGATCTTTATTATGTTGACTCAAAAAATAAACAATTTCAAGTCATAAAATCATCTTAAACTAACAATTAATAATGCCTTCGGGGCATCACAAAATTTGTAGCACAGTTTGTTTGCTAAGTTCCACATGAGTTTACAAATAATACACCTACGCATAAAATATTAATATACATTGAATAAAACGCGTGTATACACTGGCAAAAATATACATAAATAGGAACGTAACACTTCAGCAAGTTTTGGCTATTTTTGTTTTGTTCATTCAATGTTTATTATTTTTTTTATGAAAGCATATCGAGGGCTTATATTCAATACCCTCTATCTGCAATTTTCACAAAAACTACTTTGTGATGTAAGAACCCACCTGGGACTTACCTGTCATCATTGATGTTAAATCTGACTTTGCAATCTAATAGTAAATTCTTCTGTCAAGCGTTATGCAAGGTCAGCATTAATATCACTGATGACAGTTAAGTCTTAGTTGGATTTCTATATTAGAATCTCATTTTTATGAAAAGTATCTAGGACATTTTTTTATATTCTCCATACAAAAACAAGGTCCGTGCCAAAATTCAACGGCATAATTGAATGGTCTATTGATTAATGTTTAACGCATTCCGTTTCTTTGGCCGCTGCGGGCTTAAAAACTTTATTTAATTTCATTTTGATACGGATGTATAAACGCGCACTTAACACGCACCGTGTTAAATTTCCGCATATACACGATCTACTTCAAAGCCTTTTTAAGTCTCCGTATTTTTTTTTTTTTAACAAATTTTGTTCTTTTCCTCCACTTTCTAACTCTTTACTAGAGTATATCGTCACTAGACACGAATAAAGGCGCGAGCTCAAAAGTCGACCGCGAAAAAATACGCATAAAACAAACTTCAATAAAGAAAGGCGCCTAAACTTAGTCGACGGCGAAAAAATACACGTTAACCTTTTTGACGGTGAAGAAAGACGCGTAAGCTTATTTTCGTGGTCAACTGTGTTTGCGGGTGTAATAGTATGTACATTCCCCAAAGAGGCATCAGGATGGGCTCCGTAAAGTACACAGCACAAAAACTGCACTTAACACCATAAACTTTCGGATAACAAGTGGTGAGAGAACAGTCCCAGTAGCGTTTTATCAGTCAAAGGCATTTGACATGGTCAGTCACTACATGCTACTCGAAGACATTTAGGCTTCCTCTCTCCTACCGGAACTCAAACTTTTTAGGGACAAAACCAGCAAACCAAGAAGAATTAAATAGGGGGTTCCGCAGGGTGGTATCCTTTCTCCGCTTCTGTTTAATTTTTACAAATCTCTCTCAACCACCAGAGGGAGTCTGGATTGTCTCTTATGCTGACGACTGCTCGAAAATAGTGTCTGGGAGTAGAATTGATGACTCGTGCTCGAAAGTACCTATCCAAACTTTCTCGCCTATTCACTGCAAGGACCCGAACCCTCTCCACTACAAAGTCCTTGGCAACCGTTTTTACCATCTGGTCGAAGGAGGTTAGACTATGCCGATGCCAATGGTGAATAAACCGAAAATTATCGGAGTACTTTCGATAGTCTGCTCTCCTTCTCGGAGCGCACACAATCGCAATTGTCAATAAAGTACAAAGCCGCAACAAGGTCCTCAGGTCGCTAGCCGGCAGCACCTGGGATAAATACAAAGAAACGTTGTTGGCAACGAGAGTTAGCTGNGATGGTGAATAAACCGAAAATTATCGGAGTACTTTCGATAGTCTGCTCTCCTTCTCGGAGCACACAATCGCAATTGTCAATAAAGTACAAAGCCGCAACAAGGTCCTCAGGTCGCTAGCCGGCAGCACCTGGGATAAATACAAAGAAACGTTGTTGGCAACGAGAGTTAGCTGTACAAGGCAATTGGCCGGCCGGTTTTAAACTATGCGGCGACTGTGGGGACTAGTAAGATGCAGTGGATGTCTTCTGATGCCGCCACAACATCATAAAACAACCCCTGGACCCGACAGCATAACGACAGGCCATAAACGGGACATTCACAGGGAATCAGTAGAGATCTACAATGACTCTCGACCTGTCAGTGCCGTTTTGGGAACACAAGCGCCAGAAGTGGACGAGACAGAGCTTCGTCTGCCTCGGGAGACTCGGACCATAATAGCGAAATTTTTCTCTGGCTACTGCTGCATGTTAAACTCGTACCTGGGCAGATTAGATGCAGATGTGCCCAACGAGTGCCCGGAGAGACACCCCACAACTCGAGACATCACTTCGCACGCCCCCTAAGCCTTACTCAACTAACGTCTCTGTCCCTATGGACAAACCCCATAGAAACGTGTAAAACGTTGAGCGCAACCTCAGCTCCGTGCAAATTGGGAATGATTTCTCCTCTTCGTTTGAGACCGTAATGATGTTTTAGACAAGACGTTTCACTCTCGAGCTACTTTTTCAATTTAATGGTTCAAAGCGTAAATAATAAGAGCTACCACAAAAAATGGAAGGACCAAATGCACTTGGGATGAACAACTGGCGCAAATATGCCAAGGAAAGAGGCAATTGTCAAAGTTGTTTGGTTTGCCTAATTAAAAGATAAGAAAGCCTTTAGTCTGGCTGTTGCTAAAGACTAAAATGCACTCATTAAATTCTACGTAAGTTATACTTAGCACTTAGACTAATGGCGTAGAGCTTCGGCTTAAAAATGCTCGGGAATTTCTACAACCTTATCTAGTAGATTTGGAAACCAACGCCATCGTCTTAGCTTAGAGCCGTTTTTATTTTCGTACTTTACCACTCGAGGACCAAGCAGAGGTGGAACTACCTAAACCCAAAGCTCTTTTAGGAATGAGCAAAGAAGATACAGCAAACCCCGCTTAAGTACCTCATGAAAAATGTACCTCGATGCGGGTACTTAAGCGAACATAATATTGATGTATGTACTAACAAATTTACTGCAGTGTACACAGAGCACTGACCCGTTTAGGTACATGCTGAAAGGATTGGATTGCCCTTCAATAAGTTCTGTCGAACACTTTCTGGGCGAGTGTCCAGCTCTCGCGGGAATGTGGCTGAAGACACTCGGCAAACCATACCTGCAGATTATTTCAGAGTACAGCTACCTCTCTCCGTATGACGTACTGAAATTCATTTTAGCCGCCAAATGGCTGTAGGTTGCCCGAGTTGTGGAATCAAAATGGCAAAGTTGCTAACTGCTTGTCACCAGGAAAATCCACTTAAACCAACCAAGGATATCTCAAGTTGATTTGTTGCAAAGCCCTATTTTAAATTCCTTTTCCAAAGAGTATTCCGTGATCTGCTCTATTTAGGGGACTAATAACCTTCCTATTAAAAATATGAGCGAAGAGTGTGGTCTGATAGGCGGTCTTAGTGCTTTACCGCACTTATGTACTTCCTTCTAAGTTTACACACTAATTAGTGATTATTTCTTTCTAAGAAGACCAACTGAGACCACAAAAACATCTCGGTCCCATAAATACAACTCAGAATCTTTTTCGTGCCAACTTTTGGGCGATCGCGTTACTTATGGCCCCGTAGTATCCACGCGCTCAATGCCGTCGTGCTGTATTTCTCACTGTTAAATGTTTAAGCTTATCGAAGAAGTCCTTAACAGGCTTGGATTTATCATGCGACCGAAGAGGTCCCGATGGGCCGGTTGGTTATCTGAAAATAAAGCTAAAAATACCCACTTCATTCGCTTTTCAAGGTTTACTTAGGCGTCATATACATATATATATTTTTTTGCGAATGACGAAGGTTTTAGAAAGCTGGGTGCAATTTTTTTTTTAATATTACAGCGCTCGACTAATTTTGGTTTTTTTTTTTTTAATTTTTCGCTTCTAGGCCATCCAAGTGGTGCACTGGAATGATGAGGCCGGCGTTTGGTTGGACTACGATTTAATCAATCAGAAACCGCGTGACTACTTTGTACCCACCAATCTGGCACCACTCTGGACAGGTGCATTCAATGCTTTGGACTCGAAACGACTCTCCGCATCTGTGCTAAAATATATTGAAAAGTTGAATTTGGACAGTTATCCTGGTGGCGTGCCAAATACTCTCGCAAATACGGGCGAACAATGGGACTTTCCAAATGTTTGGGCACCAATGCAATATCTGCTCGTTGTCGGTTTGGAGAACTTAGACACGCCCGAAGCAAAGAATCTTTCAGAAAAATGGGCACATCGATGGGTGAAGTCAAATTTCGAGGCATACAAACAGACGCAGGCGATGTTTGAAAAGGTTGGTGTTAGCTGCGAAAAAAATTTTACTATATTTTTATGATCTCTCTTTCTCTCTCTCTCTCTTTCTCACATACAGTACGATGCATTAAAATTTGGAGGTCATGGCGGCGGCGGTGAGTATGAGGTACAAGAAGGCTTTGGCTGGAGCAATGGCGTTATTGTTGAATTCCTGGCGAAATATGGCGGCGAGCTGTCACTTTCAAACAGTGCGGCACCAACAGGTGACGATGCGCTTTGAAGCAAGAATTTAAGAAACTACACATACATAGAACCATCAGAAATCTCGACTCATTATACAGTTCATTTGTCTTTTGTTGTTGTTATTGTCTCACAGCATATTGCTAAAATATTATACATACATACATATTATATGTAATTAGAAAATATTCACATTGCAATTGTACAAGAAAGAAATTTACAAAAAAAAATGGAAAAACAAGTTATTAAAAATTGTATTAAATAAAATTATAAATTGTTTCATTAATGCAGCAGGGACACAGGTTTAAAAACATCTGTAAATATGTACATACATATACATATAATAGGCAGCATCTAACATTTTACATGTAAGGGTCGCGTGTATGCATATGTTCATATATCTGTGGTCATAAGCAATAACCGCCTAAGCCGACTCAAGAAAGAATTGAGTTATATATGCTATGGTATTCTTCAACTACTATAACATGTGTATGTGAAATTTCCATCTCGCTAGCCAGGCTATTTAAAAAGTTATGGACGACCATATTTTGGTTTCCCATAAGGTTAACATTACAATTCAAATATTTAAAAAGCTTTTTCTCGAAATCAGGTTTTTCAACTTAGGCGGTTATTGCTTATGGCCACAGATATATTTATGTATGTATGCACATTTCGCTCGTTTCCTGGAAGAAAGTCATAAACTAAAAAAAAACAATTATCTCCATATGTATGAAAAAATCAAAACGATATTCCCTAATTGCATCTCAAACGAGAGAATTTGAATGTTACTAGAAAGTAGTCCATTTTTGACCAAAGAAAGGAAAGTGAAATTAAGATTTTATCCTTAATTTTTGTGGTTATACATATTTATTATATTTTTTAGTTATTAGTTATTTTAATTGAAGGAAAGATAACTCACTAAAAACACCTCAACGTCGTTTGTTTTCAAAATTGTTGATTCTTTGGAATATGACGTTCTCCTAGTAAACGTGCTATATACTATAACTTCTGCTTTCCATTCGTTAATAACTACATGGCACAAACTCATATTCTCATGAAGTAGCACCCGGTCACAAAACATATCTAAAGTAAGAAAAAAAGTCAGAACAATTCAGGGGCTCTAGCATTGATTCCTAAGATCATTTGTGTTTAATAAAACATACACTAAATTTTTTTTTGGAACAAATCCGGAGGATTTTCGTGTTTTTTTCGAAGAACATTATTTTTGACCAATTGTTTTTTAGGTCAAGGCGAAGTTGTGGGTCAATGGCAGTATTTTTCCATGAGAGAGAATAACATTAGCTTTCAAAACTATTTGTTTCATATCAAAATATTGCTTCTGTCGAAAGCGCTACGATTAATTCCCATAGAGTGTTTAAAAAGCACACTGTGCGGCAGCCATCACTCCAATTAACCCCAAGCCGTTCCTGGGACATTGTCGTAATACTTCCGAGGGAGAGCTCAGTAAGGAAAGGAATGCACTAAGCAATCTAAGTTCGCGTTGGACTGCGCCGGGTAAATAGTCTACAGGGTGCTATTCCAAAACTTAATTAACCTCCGAAATTAGAAAGTTAGAATACTAACAGGTGTCATTTTTAAGCGAAAAAAATAATCATAAAGTAATGATTAAATACAAATTGAAATTTGTTTACTTATAACTTGCAAATACCCGGCGTGCCTCACTGCGCTTTAAAAAAGTATTTTTGTGTTGTTACTGCCTCCCAAAACTCGTATGGCCTAATTCATAAAAAATAAAATTGATTTAAAGAGAAGCCGACCCTGAGTTAACTATAGTTAACTTAACTATTCTTATACTTAACTACTTATTTTTTATAAATGTGTATGATAACTAATATATTTTCCAAGGTATTAGAAAGTAGGTAGAGTATCGGATACCTCCTGGAAATTTAATTTATAATCTTGTAACTCGAGTCTGCATATCGCGCACTTTCTTCAAAGGTGTACTAATTCAATATTCACATTAACGTATCAATTTAACTGAATTGAATTTTTCAAATAGGTGGCAACCCGCTTCAAAAATACTTTCTACAGTAAACTTTCTTAAACCTTTTAAGTTAAACACCAACTTTGTAATATTTCATTTATTTTATCAGTTTAAATGAATAAAATTTTGCAAACAGGTGGCAACTCCACTCAAATATATGCTCGGCAATAAAATTACCTTTTTAGTTTGATACTGATATTGCAATATTTAATTTATCTTATTAATTAACTTAAATTAAAATTTTCAAACGCAACCTTCCACAAAATTTTTTTCGGATGTAAGCCTTCTTAAACCTCTTTCTTTGAACAGCGGTATTGCAATATTTAATTTATCTCATTAATTTACTTAAACNAAATCTTTTTAGTTTGATACTGATATTGCAATATTTAATTTATCTTATTAATTAACTTAAATTAAAATTTTCAAACGCAACCTTCCACAAAATTTTTTCGGATGTAAGCCTTCTTAAACCTCTTTCCTTGAACAGCGGTATTGCAATATTTAATTTATCTCATTAATTTACTTAAACTGCTATTTTCAAACAGGTGGCATCTCTCTTGCTTTTTATTCCTATATTTTAAGTTAGGCCTTCGATATTTTAAGCTAGGCATTCGATTCCATGCAATAGTTTTCGAGTGAAGCGCGTACAAGCATACAGATAGACAGACAGACAAGAATTCGAAAAAAATTTTGATTTGGCTTCTTTTGCTCTAATAACAACACCCCATATTAATTTTTCTTAAATACTTACAATGTACAGACATCAGCCTGTTACAATTTTATTATACATACATATGTATAGATGATTACGGTCCTTGTAAAAAATACATACATACATACATATCGTTGCTTAAAGTACAAAACCGCGTAAGTGAGGTTGCATAAATTATGTTGTAGAGAGTGAAAACACTCATATTTCAAAATGGTTATCTTTTTTATAAAGCAATCGTTTACTGGCTAATATATTTCAGGACGAATGCATAAGGCTTGAGCCAAGAGCATCGGTGGGCAAATCCAATTCTTGGCAAAAAGTGTCAGTTATGCGGTTTTGCAGACCGACGATACGCGGTTTTGTACCTTAAACGACGATATTTAGGTTTGTGCTTATCATTTTTTCCACAACATTTATGTATTTACATTTTTACATACTGCAACGAAAACATCAATAGGGATATTCCCTTATGCTGGAAAAGCCATCGAAAACCTCGAAAGTGTGATAGCTTTGATATAACTGTAAACATTTTTATGAAATATTATGCAGCTTCTTGGTTTTTCGAATTTGAGAAATCGCGTAAATAGCTTTCAAGCTTCAAAACAGTTTTAAAAACTGGCAAAAAACATATTTTCGTTACTTCGCATCTGTGAATATGCTATTCATTTTTCATCCGATCCACTCACTTACTATTTTTTTCATCAGCTTATAAAATATGGTTTGTTGAACTTTGTCTAATTTCCGCAAGTATGAATAATTTTTTTACAGTTACAGGAAATACAGTTTTTAGCTTGGCTGTTGCGCTGGTGATCTCCCTCTTTGGCACATTGCTGGGTCAATCATTATGGTGAGGTATGTTCATAGGTGCGGAAAACTGAACGAATCATGAGGGGTATTCACTCAAATAGACAAACAACAGCCCTGAAAGTGTCCTAAATTTTTACTAATAAAGTAACAAACAATTTTATGAAATTTGTTTTTTTAAAATTTCCGATTTCCCGGTTTTACAAGTATAAGAAAAATTCTTGAACACAACGGAATTTTGATGGGCATTATCATATGTAGCTCAGATCTCACTTTGACTTCCTGCTAGTATTTCCTTATGTATAAAAAAAAAAAGTTAATAAATAAAAAAAATTTTTTAAAAAGTTTTAATTCTAGAAGTAATCTCAATCGTTTAACCTTAAANGTTAATAAATAAAAAAAAATTTTTAAAAAGTTTTAATTCTAGAAGTAATCTCAATCGTTTAACCTTAAAAATCAAGGGGTCGTAATAAATGGAACTTTATAATCAATCAATAAAATCAATTATGAAATAAATAATCGTATGCTGCGAAATTCGCATTATACCAAAGTCAACCTTTCGATATAAGCCACTATTCCATATGAACACATATATATATCTTGAAAATTTAACACTTATTATCTATGCTAAAATTTTATTTATTTTCAGATTTGCATTAATTGATCGCTTGAAACAGCGTACATCGCTGTACCGGAGATTGTGTAATGACCATGACTCGCTTCGTTACTTACGCAGACATTTTGCTTATACATACATACTTATGTATGTATCTGCAGCACATTGCGTGCTGCATTCCAGTGGCATGCATTTAGTTATACCAATAAAAGCTTTAAATATATTTTAAATTTTATTTCAACTTGCACACTATACTAGTTTTTGCTTTTTTTTATAAAATATGCATGTACATTTACATACATATATTGTTGGCAATAGTTTATTAGCAATACTTTCTTTGCGTGAAGCAAAAACACAAATGTTACTCATTTAATGAGTGGAGCTATGACTGGATATGCCTGCTTTCTTTCTTTGTTTTACTTTACATACATATATATTTAACAAAGAAAATGTTCAATATTTCGAATGTTGTTATTTAAATTAGTTATTTCTACTTCGTTTTTCTGAGTAGATATTAAACATATTAAAGACGACAACGAAAATAAATTTCACGAGACATTTAAATTGTCAGACTATCTAAATGAATTTCAATTTAGTACCCAGTACTTAAGAGTAAGTATAAATGAAATAGCGCATTTTTGTTTAGTTATTTGGCAGGGGTTCCTGACTAAAGTAGGGCGCTGTATTTGGTGTTAACAGAGTATGGCAAATATCACAGACACGTACAATTTTTTTTCGTGGACCCGAAGGCACCGTTTTCGTCAGACATTTGTCACAGTAGATGAGGCCACAATGACGACAGTGAATTTTACGTACTGTCACTGTGAAATAGGTATTGCATGTAGGACAATTATCTACATCCTCGTCTTCCTGCCAGCGCACCTCCGTGTCAGATTTGCGTAGCTTCTCCAAGGACATCTACAGAGAAAATTAAATAAAAAATAAAGTAAAAATAATACAATTAATAATAAATTTCCACCTGTAAATTTTGCGACAATCTCACAAAATCCTTCTGCACCTGCTCGCTTGTGGCTAAATCGTCTTGAAGAATTTTTATTTTTGCCTTTTGGTCTGCATTCATTTTGGTTAACTTTTCCTGTGAAAGGAAAGGAGGTAATTACAGTAGTGGATGATGCCAACTATGAATAAAACTTACAATGGAATCCTGCAATTCGATTACTTCAACACGAAATTTCGATAGCTGCCTATTCAGCTCAGCTTCCTTTCGCTCTAGCGTAGCCTTGGCTGTTTCATGGGTTTGAATTTTCAACAAATGCTCGGTCAAGCGATCTCTGAGAAAACGAATTTGGAGCACAGGTTAGTATTTATAAAGGTGCAGCAAAATAAAGGATGTATTTAATAAAAAAAAATCTGTGCTTATTTCTGCACATACAAACAATAAAAATGAAAAAATACGTAACAGTTAGTACATTTTCATTTACATATCTCCGCTCAGTAAAGCTGCATTCTTCTTCAGGTAAAAACATAAACTAGTCTTATTGTCCACTTACTGCCACGACTTGTTATCCGCTTGCATCTTCTTCTTGTACGCCTGCCGCTCGTTATTGCTTTTCTCCAACTGATCGCGCAAAATTTGAATTTCATCCAGCGATGTTACACACTTTTTACGCTCAAATTCACTGCTCACGCGCGCTTGTATAAGGTCGTTTTGTTGTTGCAATATCAATTCCTGCAATTCTTCAACAGTGTTGGGTAAATTGATTTCTTGGCTTTCAATTTCCTCCGATGAGGCCAAATAACGTCCGGAAAGAAAGTCATTGTCTGCCTGTAAAGTTTCCAATTGTTTGTTGACGCGTTCTCGCTCGTCTGTGACGCGTTGCAGTTGACGCATTACCTCTTCCTTTGTATCGAGAAACTTTTGCTGCAACTCCAGTAACTGCTCTTCGTTTGATTTTACTTGCTCTCGCAGTTTTTGTACTTCTGTTTTGTGAGCTTCGCGCCGCTCTTGCCATTGGTCCTCAAGGTCTTTGCGTAGAGCAGCCTCTTTTTGTAGATCTTCGCGCGACATTGCTATTGCTTTTTGCATTGCAATAATTGTGGCTTTATCTTCAACACTCTTTGCCTGCAGTTCTTGTATTTGGTTTTCATATTGCAAGCAGGCATCACAGGAAATAGCACTGATATCTATGGAAGTTGATTTATTTATGGCTAGATCATTTTTAGGTGTATCAGTTTCTTTCGACGCCACATTTGCCGCTGTGCCGACTTCTTGGTTTCTCAATTTATCATCTGTTTCACGCAACTTTCCTTTCAATGCTTCCATTTCTTCCTGCAATTGAACCACTATCGAACGCAGTACTTCTGCATCCTCATGCGCCTAAATGTATGCAGAGTTTTTGTTAGATACTGTTTTTGTTAGCTTGCTTCGATTTAGAATGAACTTAGATTATACTTACATAATCTTTTTTACCACTTTTGTTTTTATTGTTGTCATCCATGCTTTCCTGAGGGCCAAAACTACTTGATAATACATTGCCGGCAGATTCGCCACCAAATTTACGGAAGGTTTTCTTTACGTGATTTAAAACTTGCTGCGGCGCTAAACCAGTTGATTCCGATTGCTGTTGCATATTTTCCCGGAATTCCCGATTTTCCTGCCATAGTCGATTGCTTTCTTCCTTTAATCGTTCTAACTCAGCCTTTAGTATTGTGGACTCCTCAATTGTATCTAGACATCGCACAAAGTTGTATTAAATAAAATTTTTTAGAAAACCAATTATACGTGCCAAACCTTGTACTAATTGCTGCAACGAAGATATTTCCTCCTGTGCCTTCATTTCTTTCACCCGCAACTCATTTTCCGACTTCAAATCGGCCACCACAAATTGGCTCTTCAGGTCGTCCAGTTCGCGTTGCAAGTTTTTGCGTTCCGCTTGACATTTTGTCAGTTCTGTTTCTTTTTGCAGGAAAAGATCCTTCATTTTCGCGCGCTGTGCATTGAATTCCTTTTGCATTTTCTTTTGGTCTTCCCGAAGGTTTTCGATAAGCTCTGGCAAATTTTCTGTGCGGAAAGATTAAGAACAATCAATAAATACGAACCTAACGCATCATAACTATGAATTTAATATTTATCACCATCTCCTAGCGCTAACTCTTCCATGGGAGCAGGTGTACTTTTTTCTTTAGCATCCATTTTAATGAAAATTTTGCATGTCTTACAAAATCGACTTTCGCACTTTAGCAAAAATTATAAACTTTCTTCTTCTTTCCGTAGAACCAATCAGAATGAACTGCGGTTAGTGATACCAACCGCCGAAAAATTATAAAAGCGATGCATTTTTTTGCTTAATAAACAATCAATTTTAATTTGTTTTAATTTAGAAAACCATGAACCAATTAGAACAGATCTGACCGGTTGAGAAGCAGCCATTTGTAATAGCAATTGAGAAAAAAAGTGTATGACGTTCGTAATTTTGAAGTTTGCTATTTCTGTTTTGCTTCTTCTTTATGTGTATTTTGTCGGTGATTTATTTCAGTGATTTTTAAGCGATTTTCAAAAAATTTTTTGTTCAAATGTAATTAAAATTAAGTGCGCGGTGATTGGTTGAAAAAACGTACATAAATAATAAATTGGTTAGCACAAGCATGTGCTACAAAATTGCTTGCATTTTTTTCTTTATGCTTCGTCTTTTCATTCTTTGTTTACTTTTTAAAGAAAATAACATGGCGCCGAAATTACAAATGTCAGCCAGAAAATTACTTTTTTATTTTGCTTCATGTTGTCAGATCTAGTGTAATTTGATCATGCTTTTGACAAACAACCTTGTTCCAGTCGCTTATTCAGATCCGTATCTAACACGACCAATTCGCATAGAGAAGATAATATGCAAATCCCTACTGAAAAGGGAAAAATAAAACTTAAACAAAAAATTCAATACAAAAACTTGAATTGTTTTAACAATACCTGAAAATTTATATATATTCATTTGTCGGTGCTGTTAATTGAAATTTCCTCAATTAAATAGAACAAAAAAAAACAGAGTTGATCACAAATTGGGCCAGATTTCTATCAGTATCACATCGATGCTGAATTTGTGTAACTTTTCTTTTTCCAAATAATGTAAAATAATAAATGAAATCTCGATCGGCGATCACTGAAACGCAGTTAGCTACTGTATAGGCGCAAGAACGATAGAATACAAGATTGCGCATTCCCGCAGAATGACATTTGTGGCAACGGGTAAACAAAGAATATGGCGAAGAACAATGAGNGCTTCCATGGGAGCAGGTGTACTTTTTTCTTTAGCATCCATTTTAATGAAAATTTTGCATGTCTCACAAAATCGACTTTCGCACTTTAGCAAAAATTATAAACTTTCTTCTTCTTTCCGTAGAACCAATCAGAATGAACTGCGGTTAGTGATACCAACCGCCGAAAAATTATAAAAGCGATGCATTTTTTTGCTTAATAAACAATCAATTTTAATTTGTTTTAATTTAGAAAACCATGAACCAATTAGAACAGATCTGACCAGCAGCCATTTGTAATAGCAATTGAGAAAAAAAGTGTATGACGTTCGTAATTTTGAAGTTTGCTATTTCTGTTTTGCTTCTTCTTTATGTGTATTTTGTCGGTGATTTATTTCAGTGATTTTTAAGCGATTTTCAAAAAATTTTTTGTTCAAATGTAATTAAAATTAAGTGCGCGGTGATTGGTTGAAAAAACGTACATAAATAATAAATTGGTTAGCACAAGCATGTGCTACAAAATTGCTTGCATTTTTTTCTTTATGCTTCGTCTTTTCATTCTTTGTTTACTTTTTAAAGAAAATAACATGGCGCCGAAATTACAAATGTCAGCCAGAAAATTACTTTTTTATTTTGCTTCATGTTGTCAGATCTAGTGTAATTTGATCATGCTTTTGACAAACAACCTTGTTCCAGTCGCTTATTCAGATCCGTATCTAACACGACCAATTCGCATAGANATCTAGTGTAATTTGATCATGCTTTTGACAAACAACCGCGTTCCAGTCGCTTATTCAGATCCGTATCTAACACGACCAATTCGCATAGAGAAGATAATATGCAAATCCCTACTGAAAAGGGAAAAATAAAACTTAAACAAAAAATTCAATACAAAAACTTGAATTGTTTTAACAATACCTGAAAATTTATATATATTCATTTGTCGGTGCTGTTAATTGAAATTTCCTCAATTAAATAGAACAAAAAAAAACAGAGTTGATCACAAATTGGGCCAGATTTCTATCAGTATCACATCGATGCTGAATTTGTGTAACTTTTCTTTTTCCAAATAATGTAAAATAATAAATGAAATCTCGATCGGCGATCACTGAAACGCAGTTAGCTACTGTATAGGCGCAAGAACGATAGAATACAAGATTGCGCATTCCCGCAGAATGACATTTGTGGCAACGGGTAAACAAAGAATATGGCGAAGAACAATGAGTTGACAGCTGTGAATTTGCAGTGAGAAAACGTGTTTTCTTCACGATTCACCAATTTCTCGAGCCATCTTTGAATATGGCAAATTAAGCACAACGTTAACAAAAAATATACAACCACTCTTGAAATATATTCAAAAGAATAGGTCTTATTAATTAACTATTTAGAATTTTCGTGTTTTTATTGCAGGTGCCGAAAAAGTGATAATATCTTGCATGAACCAAAAATACAAGATCACGTTGTATTTGTAACTGGTTTTGAGAAAAAAGTTTGCGAAAGCGGGTTCGTCAGCTGAGCGTTTGTTTACATCACAAGCACCACTATTTTACACTTTTATTCAAATAAAGAAGAGTTAATTCAATATGACAACACATTTTAAAGCATTTTGTTGCATCATCTTACATAAATTGTGCGTTTAAAGTGGCTGACAATAGTTTTGGCTAATTTTGGTTTTCATTGTTTTCTTTGCTTACTTTTCGCTTTGTTTACTTTTCGCTCGTTTTCCAGTGAAACAACATGGCGTAGAACCCGCTAAAAAAGTCGACTTTTTTCACTCTCTTGTTCTTACGTGATCTTGTGTCTTTCGTTCATGATATCTTGTCGCAGCTCATGTTTTCCTGCAGAATGTGGTCGATGCTTGCATACCTCCGACTTTAATTTGTAATTTGTGGTATTTCAACGTTTCACGACATTTTTATAAAGTTTTTATTACAAATAAAACGTTTTTTACTTCAGAGCGCACGAATTACTTCGATTTTTCACTTGAAAGTACACAATACGTTTGCAATACGTTTGCACTTGTTTATAAACAAAAAGTTTGATTACGTATTGCCATAAACGTCAAAGTCGGCAAAACCAAAGTAGCGGTTTCGGGAATGCGCCACCTTCAGTTCATTACTCCATGGCATGAACGAAAGACACAAGATCACGCGGGAAGGAAAAAACGAAAAAAGTTATTTTCTAGCTGCCGAAATCTCGACGCCATCTTTGTTGTAAGAAGTAAACAACGAAGAGAACGGAGAAAACCGCGAAATTGTTGAACGCATGAAAAATCATTTTTATTATGCAAATTCTTCTATAAATCATGCCGTTGTGTTAAATTATTCTTTATCTTATGTGTACACACGTTGCCACAAGTGAAAATGAAGAAAATTGCAGTAAAAAGCCACCACCAAATTGTAAACAACGAAGAAATGTAAACAAACTCAACTTTTCAACTTTTTTCCTAAATGCGATTCTAACGGGCTAGTCTCCAGCCCGCGTGATCTTGTCTTTTTGGTTCATGACTCCATGGTATACGCGAAAATGCAATGTTGCCACTTTCTTTCAATAAACCATGTTCGAATCGTGGAAATTTTTGAAGATCCTAGGGTTGATTTTAGCGTTTAGACTCTTAATGCAGAAATTAGCTCTGATCCAGTACTCCATGAACTTACAGGATTTTACATGAACTTGCAGGAAGTTGCAGGAAAAATGTTCCCGTACTCCGAAATCCTCCAAAATCCTGTAAATTAGAGCGACTTTTGGAGAGTTGTGTAGTGAACGAAGTTGCAAGATTTTACCCGAACTTTTTCATCTGATAAAATCATGAAAAGTGTCAAGCAATCACTGGTTTGCGTTTTTACAGGAAAAATGTTTTTTTTGTTCCCGTACTTTTTGTTGTTACTCACTTCAGAGAGTAATTTTGCTGTTTGACAGTTTTACAGGATTTTTCACGAAAAGTATTGGATCAGAGCTATGGAGTTGCATTTAGGTGACGAATTTCGTGTGGATAAACGTACATTAAGGGCGACGCCACGCAATGAGAGGCTTAATTAAAACATATGAAATACTACTGAAGTGACCATGCTCTGAGCGGCATTTCTGAGCGGCTGAGCGACATTTTTGTATGGCGCCGCTTAGCCTCTCAGCCGCTTGCCGCTTTGCCGCTCAATGCGTGGCCTCGACCTTAGAGTAGCATTTAGAGCTAAATGGGCTAAATATGCTTTTACGCGTAAAGCCCTGTATGCAGGTCTCAAGAAAACGGACAAGAAAAAATTGCCATTATTTCGCGTGTGTGTCCAAGGAATTTTGACATTTTTGATACCTCACAGCCTGTTGCCTCACTCTTTCCCCAAGAAATAATGGAACGGGCATATATTTCTGTTGCAAACTTGGGTTGCCTTGTGCTCCTTTTTCACAAAAAACTTTAGAAAACCGTAGTAGAAAGCGTACTAAATTTCTTAAGAACTGCGTACTGCCTTAAAAAAATTTGACTCAAGAAAATTTCGTAGCCATTTCTTGTACGTCATTTCATATGGAGTTTTTGCTTTTCTTGAGAGCTGCATACAGGCCTTAATAAAACATCTTGTAAAAATATACATATATCAGCGGTCATAAGCAACAACTGCCCAAGTCGAAAAACCTGAATTCGAGAAAATGCGTTTTAAACATTTGGATTGCAATGTTAACCTTGTGAGGAAACCAAAGTATGTTCATCTACAACCTTTTAAATAGCCGAACTGGCGAGCTGGGGATTTCACATACACATTAAATAGTAGTTGGAGAATACGATAGCATATATAACTAAATTCTTCCTTAAGTCGACTTAAGCGGTTATTGCTTATGACCACCGATATGTACATATATATATGTAGGTATTAAAAGTACAATAAAAAGTAGTTAAGCATTTCACTTTCTGTGAGATCGTAAGCCACATTTTGGCTTAAAGACTCTGTATGTATTTGTATATCATGACAAACACTTTGAGAAGATTTGATAATCTTTTGCTTTT